ACTTGAAGACAGGGTAGTGGAATTCATCCCATCAGAGGAGCAAAAAGAAAAAAGAATGAAAAGGGTGAAAATAGCTTAAGGGACTTATGGGACACCATCAAGTGGACCAATATTTGCATTACAGGGGAACTAGAAGGAGAAAAGAGAGGGAAAGGGGCAGAAAGCTTATTCAAATAATGGCTGAAAACTTCCCTAACCTGGGGGAAAAAACATACACTGAGATCCAGGAAGTCTAGGGAGTTCCAAATAAGATTAATCCAAAATCCAAAAGACCTACACTGAGTCACATTATAACCAAATTGTCAAAAATTAAAGACAAGGAGAGAATCTTAAAAGCAGCAAGAGAAAAACAACTTGTTATATACAAGCGAGCCACCATAAGACTATCAGCAGAAACTTTGCAGGCCAGAAGAAAGTGATATGATATATTCAAAGTGCTGAAAGAAAAAAACTGAACCAACAATACCCTACTGGCAAATTTTTCCTTCACAATTGAAGGAGAGATAAAGAGTTTTTTAGAGAAGCAAAAGCTGCAAAGAGTTCACCACCACTAGACTGGTCTTACAAGAAATGTTAAAAGGACTTCTTCAAGCTGAAAGGAAAGGATACTAATTAGTAACATAAAAACATGAAAGTATAAATCTCACTGATGAAGGTAAATATAGAGTTAAATTCATGTTGTAATGGTGGTGACCGAATCACTTAAGACTCTAGTATGAAGATTAAAAGACAAAAATATTAAAAATAACTATAACTACAATAATATGTTAATGGATACACAAGGTAAAAAGATGTAAATTGTGACATCACAAACATAAAAATTGAGAGGAAGAGTAAAAATGTAGAGCCTTAGTATGCATTCAAAATTAAGTTATCAGCTTAAAAAAGACTGTTATAAATACGTTTTTTGTAAGTCTCATGGTAACCACAAAGAAAAACCTATAGAAAATACACAAAAGAAAAAGAGAAAGGAAACTAAGCATATCATTACAGAAAATCATCAAATAACAAAGGAAGAGAGCCAGAGAAGCAAGAAACAAAGGAATTACAAAACAGCAAGAAAACAATTAACAAAGTAGCAATAGTAAGTCCATACTTTTTAATAATTACTTTAAATGTAAATGGACTCAATTCTCCAATCAAAAGGCAGAGAGGTGCTGAATGGATTAAAAAATACCAAGACCCAACTACATGCTGCCTACAAGAGACACATTTGGCTTTAAGGACACACAGACTGAAAGTGAAGCTATGCAGAAAGACATTCCATGCAAATGGAAAACAAAAGAAAGCAAGGGTAGCTATACTTATACCAGAGAAAACAGACTTTAAGCCAAAGACTGTAACAAGAGACAAAGGTCATTATATAATGATAAAGGGGTCAATCCAACAGGATGTAATATTTGTAAATATTTATGCACCCAACATATGAGCACCTAAATATATAAACCAAATACTAGCAAATCTGAAGGAAGAAACAGACAGCAATACAATATTAGTAATGGACTTTAGTACCCACTTTCAACAACAGATACATCACCCAAATAGAAAATCAGAAAGGAAACATTGGACCTAAACTATATATTAGATCAGATGAACTTAACAAACATTTACAGAACATTCCATCCAATAGCAGCAGAACACACATTCTTCTCAAGCACACGACAAACATTCTCTAGGACAGATCATATGTTGGGACCCAAAACAAGTCTTAATAAATTTAGGAAGACTGAAATCATATCAAGCATCTTTTCCAACCACAATGTATAAAACTAGAAATCAATTCCAAGCGGAAACTGGAAATTTCACAAATATGTGGAGACTAAACAACATGCTACTGAATAACCAATGGGTCAAAGAAGAAGTCAAAAGAAAAAGAAAAAGAAAAACATATCTTGTGACAAATGAAAATACAACATACCTACCTTACACCATACACAAAAATTAACTCAAAATGGATTAAAGACTTGAATGTAAGACCTGAAACCATGAAACTTCGAGAAGAAAACACAGGCAGTACGCTCTTCAACATCAGTCTTAGCAACATATTTCCAAGCACCATGTCTGACTGGGCAAGAAAAACAATAGAAAAATTAAACAAATGGGACTACATCAAACTAAAAAGCTTCTGCACAGCAAAGGAAACCATCAACAAAACGAAAAGATAACCTAACAATTGGGAGAAGATATTTGCAAACCATACATCTGATAAGGGGTTAACAAACTGGACTGCATCAAACTAAAAAGCTTCTGCACAGCAAAGGAAACCATCAAGAAAACGAAAAGACAACCTAACAATCGGGAGAAGATATTTGAAAACCATACATCTGATAAGGGGTTAGTCTCCAAAATATATAAAGAACCCATGCATCTCAACAACAAAAAAACTAACAATCCAATTAAAAACTGGGCAAAAGACCTGAACAGACATTTCTCCAAAGAAGATATACAGATGGCCAACACGCACATGAAAAGACGTTCAACATCATTAACTATCAGGGAAATGCAAATCAAAACCACAATGAGATATCACTTCACGCCCGTCAGAATGCCTATAATTAACAAGACAGGAAACAACAAGTGTTGGAGAGGATGTGGAGAGAAGGGAACTCTCATACACTGCTGGTGGGACTGCAAACTGGTGCAGCCACTGTGGTAAACAGTATGGAGATTCCTCAAAAAATTAAGGATAGAACTACCATATGATCCAGCTATTCCACTGCTGGGTACTTATCCAAAGAACGTGAAAACACCAGTGCGTAAAGATACATGCACCCCTGTGTGCATTGCAGTGTTATTCACAATAGCCAAGACTTGGAAGCAACCTAAGCGCCCATCAAGGGACGAATGGATAAAGAAGATGTGGTATATAGACACAATGGAATACTACTCAGCCATAAGAAATGATGAAATCCAGCCATTTGTGACAACATGGATGGACATTGAGGGTATTATGCAAAATGAAATAAGTCAGAGGGAGAAGGTCAAATACCATATGATCTCACTCATTAAGTAGTAAGTAATAACAACAACAAACAAACATGTAGAGACAGAGATTGGATTGGTGGTTACCAGAGGGGAAGGGGGGAGGGAGGAGGGCGAAAGGGATAATTAGGCACATGTGTGTGGTGATGGATTGTAATTAGTATTTGGGTGGTGAACATGAGAACGTGATGTAATCCATGCAGAAATAGAAGTATAATGATGTACACCTGAAATTTATACAATGTTATAAACCAATGTTACCACAATAAACAACAACAAAAAAAGAAAATACAACATACCAAAACTTATGGGATGCAGCAAAAGCACTTCTAAGTGGGAAGTTTATAGCAATAAACACTTACAATAAGAAAAAGAAAGATCCCAAATAAAAACAACCTAACTTAACAGCTCAAGGAAGTAGGAAAAAAAAAAGAACAAACTAAGTCCAACGTTCATAAAAGCAAAGAAATAACAAAGATCACAGCAGAAATAAATGAAATAGACACTAAAAAGACAACAGAAAACATCAACGAAACTAAGAGCTGGTTTTATTTAAAAAAACAAAATTAATAAATCGTTAGCTAGACTTACCAAGAAAAAGAGGACTCAAATAAATACTTTGTTAAATCACCATTGTATATTTGGTACCCTAGAGTAGGTATTCAATAAATGTTACTGAATGAATAAAACATCATCAGACTAGAGGAAAAAGGCATTCCTTGGTCATTCAACTCAATGTTTATGAATTAATTTATAAATCTGAGTAAAAAATGTATACACATACACACAGTTATTTTTTAAATGTTCAAGAGTTTGGCTTCTGGCAATGATGGACTAGGTTATTTCAGACAAACCATATCACTGCACAACTTAAAAAGCTGAACAAAATATTTTTTAAAATTTTGTTTGAAAGCATCAATCAGTTTAATAAAGGCAGCAATAATTTGCAGATCCAAGATGCCAGGCAGAAAGAAGGTCCAAAGACGTTGAGCTCATCGTTTGGTGCCATTTTTGCTTCAAGACATTTGTAGTTCAGAGTTAAGAAGCTGATCAGAGCTTTGAGATAGATATACATGGATGGGGGAACAAAAAACAGAGTTCAGGCTCTGCTAAGGATGAGAAGCCACGGAAAACATCTAGATTTTCAGTTGGGACCCTAGAGGGCATACCACAAGAGTAAGTGCCTCCTTAAATATTGTGTCCTAGTTGTCTCATACTAGTCCCAGTCCTGATACTAGGAATAAGAGTAAACCAGAAAAAGACTAATCCTCACAGGAACTAAAGTCCAAATCATTTCAATTTCAATCTCAATTAAGGTGATCTGGGATTGCTAGTGTCCCTAGTCTAGCTGGCTGCCAGATGCAAATGTATATTTTCTCTGTAAGAATATACAATTAAGAGCCTCAAATTAATTCTATAGATTTTCAAATATAACGTTTGGCACTTAATAAAAACAACTAGGTATATGAGAATATAAGATGTGACTGAAAACTACAAGAGAAAAAAACAACAGAAACAGACTTACACGAGATCCAGATAATGGAGTTAAGATGAACTTTAAAATAGCAATTATTCATATATTTGAAGACTAATATACTCTTCGACTGTATTAATACAGTCAAAGAGACAGGACTGGGGATTTTTGTAGAGAAGTGGAAACTATAAAACTATAAAACTATAAAATAAAGGAAAATACAGAAATACAGAAAATATAGGAAATACAGAAAAGAGCATGAGACATCTACAGAATACATCATTGAGTAAAGAGAGAGAGCAAGCATTTTACTTTCTCCCTTATAAATGAGTTCTCACCTCTTTTCTTGCTATAGCATTGACTTTTTTAAACAAACACCTATGTACAATAAACGAAACTCAGGAAGAACCTTTGCACCCATGAAATATCAACACAATGAAGGGGGACCAATAGCAAGATCACGTCTCAAAGAAAAAAACTAATAAACAAACAACACATAAATAAGATGAAAAATTTTTTGTTTTGTTTGTTTTTGTTTTTTTACCTTTCCCGAGGTTGTTGTTGAAGTTTTTCAAGTCGCACTACAGATGGCTGGTTGGATTGAGGCACTGCAGCTGGCTTCCCAACAGTAACATTCAGGTCTGGGGATAAGAATGCTGGATATTCTATTGGCTGTGGTATAATAACATTTCTGCAAAAATGGTAATAAAGTTAAATAATGAAATTATACAAAATTTCACTTCTAAAATCAGCGGTAGCTATCACTTGTGAATCATTCTTTTTTGTACTGTAAGCTCACCTACCCACCTTGGACCACAGGAGGACAGTGTTAGAAAAGAAGACAAAAGTCAGAAATCCTGAGAGAAGCGCTCTCTTGAGTACTTTTACTACTAAGATCATGGGCAGCAGGGTTGGTAAAGGAGAGAAGGACCTGAAGTTCTGATGAGAAGTAGAAAGTGAGCCCAGACCTCTCCCCCAATCTCTAGATCCAAATTTCCATTTCATGGCCCAGTAAAGTTGACATACAAAATTAACCATCACAAGTCCACCCCTTGTCAACTTGGCACCCGTAAGCATCTCCTTAAAACACACTTAATCTCCAAATGAAAACAATAATAAGTTCATAATTCCACCTAACAACTATCCTGCATACAACCAAAAACTCAAATTTACTAACCCCTTCCCCAGAAGAAAAGGTGAAGTCCATGAGTGACGTTTACTCATCTCCTTGATATCCCGAAACTTAAATACTATGATGTAAGGTTAAAAATACTTAAATATTATGATATAAAGTCAATATATCTTATGTTACATGGTAAGGAGATAAGAAAGGGAAGACAATAGAGATATTATATACATATATACATTATTATATTTTTTATATATATATATATATAATTTTTTTCCAAGTCACTGGTACTGGGCCAGAGTAGCACAGCCAAGTGAAGAATATGTTGCCTCCAAAATCCAAAGAAACCCACTAGGTGTTTTGCCTCTTTTTTGATTGTAGGAGGGGCCAGATACAACACTTTACCCTTCAACTTAGCAGGAATATCTTGACAAGCCCCACATGACTGGATCACCAAAATTCACTGAGGTAGAAGGCCCCTGAATTTTTGTCAGACTTATTTCCCACCCTCTGACATGCAAATATCTTACTAGTAAGATAAGTAACATCTTACCACTAAGTATAGAGTAGTTGCTACTTCTTGATCACTAGGTCCAATCAGCATAATGTCATCAGTGCAATGGACCAGTGTGATATCTTGTGTAAGGGAAAGGTGATTAAGATTTTCAGAAACTAAATTATGACATGGGGCTGGAGAGCTGATATACCCCTGAGGAAGGACAGTGAAGGTGTACTGTTGGCCTTGCCAGCTGAAAGCAATCTGCTTCTGATGGTCTTTATAAACAAGTACAGAGAAAAAAGCATTTGCCAGACCAATAGTTGCATACCAGGTACCAGTGGATGTGTTAATTTGCTCAAGCAATGAAATCACATCTGTTATAGCAGCTGCAATTGGAGTCACTGCCTGGTTAAGCTTATGATAATCTACTGTCGTTCTCCAAGATCCATCTGTTGGATGGTGAGTTGAATGGGGATGTGATGGTGAGTTGAATGGGGATGTGATGCATCTTGCAAGTTCTCGATGATGGCACTAACCTCTGTAATCCCTCCAGGAATGTGGTACTGCTTTTGGTTTACTATTTCCCTGGGTAGAGGTAGCTCTAATGGTTTCCATTTGGTCTTTCTCATCATAATAACCCTCAGTCCACAGGTCAGAAAACCAATGTAAGGATTCACTAACTGCTGAATATGTCTATTCAAATTATGCATTCTGGAACTGGGGAAATAACCACAGGATGGGTTTGGGGACCCACTGGGCCCACTGTGAAACGGATCAGAGTTAAAACTCATTGATCACCTGACCTCCATAAGCCCCCTACTCCGAATGGTGAACAACAGTGATACTTTGGATCTTCAGGAATTAGTGTCAGTTCAGACTCGGTATTCAGTAGTCTCTGAAAGGTCTGATTATTTCCTTTTCTCTAATGCAGTTACCCTGGTAAAAGGCTGTAGTTCCCTTTGGGGAAAGCTGAGAGAAAGATTAACATTATAAAAATTTTGGCAGTGTACCAGGGTCTCTCCTCAAGGGGACCAGGCTTCCTTTTCATTACGGGGTTCTGGGTCTGTAAACTGGCTCAAATCTGGGAATTGATTGTGGAGCTGTGACTCTCTGTTTTTATGATTCAAGTTAGACTTTTGTTCACTTGACCTAGAACTTTTCTGCTTACACAGATCAAGTAAGGATTTAATAGGCTTCCTATATATTTTATTTCTGGGAACATCATGATTGACTAGCCAATGCCATAGGTCTCTGTGAGTCAGCCTATTCTGATTGCTGCTTTGACTCTACTGTCCATTACAGTAACTGCACCCACCTTGCCTGTGGCAGTTGAGTGCTGCTACTTGGTCCCTGTCACTTCGGGATCAAATTACTCCGAATTCATTTGGGTTTCCCTAAATTTAGTTCAGTGCCTGCAGTTCCCACTGTAAAGTCTGGCCTACAGAGAAGAGCAGTCACAGAGCTCTTGAAGGATGGGGCTCCCCTCACAAATTTATTTCTCATAGTCATGGTGAAAGGTGTGTCTTCTTGACCCTCTCAGGGTGGGTGAGTAGGTCTTAAATGACAAATCCACTCCAACTTTCCAATCTCTCTAAGCCTTTGAATCCCTTCCTCTTCATTAAATCAAAGCAGGTCTGACATTTTCAATTCACTCACAGCGAGCCATCTTTTGGCCCATGTTTCAGCAACCAACCAACCAAACAGCTGGAGTCCTTTGCAACTCCCCAAGCTGCAACATTAAATTAAACAGAATCTCTGCCTCATGAGCTCCTATCAATAAATTTGGTGTGATCCAACTTTATCTTCCTTCCACCATTTTCCACATCCTTAATATCCATTCCCACCCATGTTCCCTGGATTTTTGTCCATACAAATTAGAAAACTCAAGTAGTTCTTTTTGGAGTGTACTGCACCTCCTTGTGAGTCACACTTTGTACCTCACCTTTAGGGGCTTGCTGGGACTTGAGTCTAGTTACAGGCCCAGAAGCAAAGAGGGGTGCTAGCGGTGGGTCCTGAGGAGAATAAACATTGTCTTACATGGCAACGGCCTCAGAGGAAGCCACTACTGTTTCGTCAAGCAATGCAGGGTTAATCCCCTCAGGAGGTTGAAAGGTCACTACCACTGGGAGTGGTGATGTCACTTTTGCTGGGGGTGGAGAGGCCAAGTCTTCCACCAGGGGTTGAGAGGTCACTTCCACTGGCAAAGAAGATATATCAGAATTTAGGGGCTCAATATCCCCAGCTACATCAGGGTCTTCTCCCACATTCCCATTCCACCTTTTAGGATCTCATTTATTTCCAATCAATGCCCTCACTTTAATAGCAGACTCCCTTCAAGGCTGAGAGTTCAACTTGTGTTGTAATTCAGCCAGTTGCAGGATGAAATTCTGGGTTTGACTGTTAGCAATCTTAGTCCTATGGCTACAGGAGATAAAGGTCACCTTCAGAACACACAGAGAAAATTTCAGGTCATGTATGCAATGCTTGAGTTGGGAATTTGAATCCTTAGCTCATCTTTTTCTTTCCGAACTTTGTCAAGCAACATTTGCCGTGCTGAGCCAATCTCATTATATTCATTAGTTTGACCAAAATGTTTAAAAGTATCATATACACAGTCACCCAGATCTTTGCTTCTTATAAACAGTTGATTAGGAGAATCCAAGGGTGATATTTTGCATATCTCTATTGCCAGATCATGCTATGGACTATCAGTGTTCTCTTTACTACTCGAAATGGAGTCATTAGAGTCTTTAAATCTAATCAGATCTGAGAGCCAATTCCAGAAACTCCAGAACTAATTCAGAAAATTCATCCTTAATATTCTGTTCCTCTAGAGCCACTCTTGGTATCAAAATCCATATTAATCAGGGTTGTCCAGAGAAACAGAACCAATAAGATGTATACATGTATATATAGATATACTTTCTTTCAAAATGGTCCATCAAATGGATTAAGTGTTTCAAATGTCACATGATCTGATTGTGTTAATAAGACTTCACTTACGTTATAGGGTCTGTTCTTTCTGGAGGTGGTGCAATATTCATAAACATGGATGGCTCAATAATTTTCTGAAGAGGTTTTAACTGAAGAAAATAAGTATATTTTAACACTTTTCAGTTACAATTACAGTTCACCCTAATACTACTATCCTCCAGGACTATGGAATAGGCCTTAAATGATATATAGAAGGAGAAAAGGAATTGGAGAAGAACTAACATTTATTGAGCACTAAATATCTGCTAAGAATTTTATATCTTTAATACTATTTAATCCTCTCAATAATTGTATGAGGTAGATAACTGTGCCTATTTTACAGATAACACTGAAGATCAGAAGTCTGTTCAAGGTTACCCAGTAGGCATGAGAGCCAGTGCTGGAATGCAGCTTTATCTGCCCCCACCACAGTGCTCTTTTTATAGTATCATGACAGGTAAGTAGGGGACTATATCACTGAGAAGTTCATAGATATAAAATCAAGTTAACTTTTATTACATTTCCCACTCTTTTCCATACAATACCTTTGCTCCTTGTTTTTAGTAGAGTCTATCTTCATAAAACAATACTCGCCCAGTTTTATTTGAAAAGGATCTATCTCCCTAAGAAGGGGACTGTTACATATTATACTTATATTCAAACACAAAACCTACCTCTGAAGTTGGCGCTCATAAACTATGACTGACACAACGAGGACTAAATAAGTAGGAGTCCCTATAAAGCCTACTTCATGATAAGAAAAAAAAGAAAGTAGGCAGAAGGAAAAGAAAGTTAGATAAGAAAAAAGGAAAAAAGCGTGTGCCTCATGCCTTTCATCTGCACGCTACTTACTTCTGATTTGAAATGCATTAAAAATCATTATGATATACCATAGGCAAAATTTTAAAACACATTTTACTGGGATTTCTCAGTTAACATAGCAGTAGACTTATTTACTAAAACTCATGTACCCACTCTTCATTCCTAATTAAAAAATAACCAAGACTATAAAAAATAACAAAAACTGGACATGAAAGATTACATGCAAAGTATAGGGGTCATTTCCCGTATATAACAGCAGCACTAATGGGACTGGATTTATAAATGCCCCAAAGCTGTGATAATACCCAGGGATATCAAGAGTTCTTTCAAACACTTGGTGAGAATATATGTTGGTACAACTTTTCGAGAACAATTCTTTGAAAAGGTCATTGTTTTGGACAATAATTTCCATTCTAGGAATCTAGCATAAGGACATAATTAAAGGAAAGGACACGGGTTAATGTACAAAAATGTTCACTGCAACATGGATATATGTAGTGAATTTAAAGGGGCATGCCACAGCTAGGAAGATATCTTCTCTGGGCAGATTATCTCTTGATGAATCAAGGAGGGTTCAAATAACACCAGATGTTGAAATAACCACAGGGGAAAGGAGCATACGTGATCATAGTACAAAATATCTGAATAACATCAAGGACTCCAATTTTAATAAGTATTTTTAGATATAAAAATCCACGTTTCTTTCTTGAATCCTTAAAATAATTTTGTCTTCAATTACATAAGTATGTGTGTACACACACACAAACATACAAAAGCAAGTTTCATATAAAGACATTTTGAATAAAAGATCATTATTTAAAAATGTATAAGCAAATAATGGTAAAGTTTCATTTTGCTTCAAGCTGGAGAAAAACAGCATTCTTTTAAAAATATTTATTTTAAAGAGTTTCTCAAACTGGAAAGGATGGAGGCTCAGAAGAGGACCATCTGGCTGAAGAGCTGTAGCAGAATAATTTTTTAAAGAGGGAAACTTACCTGATGTGAAAATCCATAACCAAAGTTCCCATAGGAGAACATAAATTCCACCTCCATCCTGCAGATAAGCTAAACATGTGGCAAATTTATTTTATTATTTTACCAGAAAGATATTTTAATGGAGAAGTGACAGCAAGTGATATTTTTACTTCACAAATCTATAAGTTAGAAAAACCAAAGCGTGAATCTCCTGATTTAAAAAAAAACAACAACATTTACAGAAGAAACTCCTATAGAAGAATCTATGGAGTTCCCAAAATGTTAAAAACCTTTATGTTAAAGTTAAGGAATATAATATAATTAAAATGTAGAAAAATACAAATTTACAATTGTTAATAGGATTAAGCTGAGATACATATATATGTGTGTGTGTATATATTCATATACATGTAGGTATATATTTTTTTAAGTATTTGCTCACACTTCTCTCCACTTCCATTTTCAGATAAAATTCTGACTTAGACAAGTGATTTCATCTCTCTGAACCCCAGCTGGTTCACAAGTGAAATGAAGGAGGTGTCAGAGGTTATGACCTCAAATACCCATCATTCTGTTCCTTGGCCCTGCTTTGCCTATTGGCAGCAGAGGCCTCTCTGAATAGAAGATAAATTAATCAAGATAATAATTTTTAAGTACTTAAAAGAAATTCAAGTAAGAACTCTAAACAACTCTTTAGAAACTCCTCAAGGAGAAAAATATTTCCTCAGTTCAACAAGTGAGGACCCTAAGGCTATGCAGAGAAGCAGCTACAAGCATTTTTTTTTTACTCTCTTACCCACTGATTTCTACTTTTCTTCATCACTATTTAGCAGTAAGATAGCAGCATAAAGAAAAGTGGAGATGAAGATTTTGTGAGCAAATATTGTACTTTCTACTTAATACATTTCCATTAATTTAAACAGTGACTGGTAGGGTAACAAAAAGAATAAAAACAATATCAGAGGCTACAAAGAATAAAAAAAATAAAGTTATATAAAATGTTAAGTATGTGCACAAAACTTTGGAAGTTTCAGTAAAGTTCTTACTGTGTTTTTATTCAACATTTGAAATTCTTCAATAAAGCATCCTTTCTAGAAAAAAGAATAAATAATAAAATTCTTAAATACAGAATCACTCAAGTAGTCATTTGTATATTATCTAAACCATTTCATAGATTTTTAAAAATCAGGTAATGATTTTTAATGCACATATTAATTTAATAGCTAAAATACAAATATAATGAATGTTTGGAAGAAAATGAAAATTCCAGGTTGTATCAAAAATAAATGTTAATATTTACATCTATGTTTTTTAGACAAAAATGTTCCTGCTAGGTAGAGCTCCCCTTTTTGGAAGTCTTAGAGGAAGTGCCATGCCTGCACGCTTTGAGGGGTTACTCAAACACAGGTCCACAGGCTAAGCTGCCTCCTGACAGAATGGAGAGCTTCTCTGCTCCCTGGAGGACTCTGGGGTCTCCGTAACCAGGCACACCTTCGGTATTCTTGGTCACCACCTCTGGTCATCTCTGCTGTGCTATCCTCCCACCTAATCCAACAGCCCACGGTTCCTTGTCTTCTCAGCATTTTCCACTGCAGCTCATGAGATGCCCATTCCACAGTCAACAGACAACCTTACATCTTTAACTGCTCCACGAAACACTCCCCCTTTGCTTTACCCGAGACCTGGCTCCCCAACAAGGATGCTGCTTCCCTCACAAACTCCTCAAGTGAAGGCCCACATACTTCAAGGGCAGGAGGTAGAGTTGCATCCTCCACACGCCCTTCTGTTGCTTCCAGATCACATTATTTCATGTAGATAGAAACAGTTTTCCTCTTTTAAGCCTCGTGCTCTCTGGCACATCTTTCAGACATTCTGGTCACTAATTCTCAGTTAGTGAAAACTCTGGCATCTGGTTCGCAGATCCTCTGCATCCCCAAAACATAACGATCCACAAGCACCTATTTAACACCTACCCTCTCAGTTCCTGGTGAGGCATTGTAATGAGGGAAATAACAGCTGGTACAATGCAGACATCACACAGAATTAGCATATCATATATGTTCTTCATGTAAAATCACAAGATTTCTCAGAAAATTCATAAATAACTGAAACTGATTTCCTCAATGATCCTGTCTACCTGCTCTTTATAGCTTCTTGTTCTTGACAGCCTCCCTTTCCCCAAAGTGGGGAGTGGGGAAGCATCTCACTGTTCCAAGACTGCTTTTTCTTCTTCTTCTCTTTAGTAAACTCTACCTCTGCTTTTGATCGAAGAACTCAACCTATTGATTCATCTCCCTCATATATAAGTAAACTTTTAGTCATATTTTTAACTACTGTAAATATCTTTGAGTTATTTCTGGCAGTCCCACTGAGATCTGCCCAACTGAGCCTTCACTGGAGCCAATTAAAATATTCACCCCAAATATGCATCTTGTCCAAATCCACAGAGTCTTAAGGCCTGTCTTCACTCAGCTCCTCGGGTGAGTTTTAATGTGTGGCAATGAGCTATTTGTCTCCCTGTCCTGAATTTGGCTCTGCTCAGCCCAAAGTAAGTTACATGGTTAAGCCTGTGGGGTGGGGGGTGGGGGGGACTGTAGACTCCTCAAAGGTATGAATACAGGGAGGTATGATTACTTAGGGGGCATTACTCTAACAATCTTCCACATCTTTGCATTCTCTGTTGCCTTTCTCAATAATTATAGTGGCTACCAATCTTTCTAACTGTTGAATTTATCACCTAGTCGTAAGCTCATTTGGTATGGATCATATAGCCAAACCAATAAACACAAATGGGACTACAATTCACCCCAAAATTAACGATCACATTCCCTTTTATAATCAATACAGGAACATTATAAACTCTAATATACTTATATGCCTTAACTGGACTCTAGGCCTTAACAATTAGCTGAGGTTTCCGGTTTCTCCCAGAGCCTCAAAGGAACCCAAGATGTATCTGAGATAGGAAGGAACAGGGGATGACTGATAGAAGCTATAGACCAATTATTTTTTTATAAAGCTATGAAAAACCTATAGTGTGATTTGTTTAATTCAACTCAAGGTCTTTGTCCTCCATAATCAAGCCAATTACACTCAGAAAGCAACTAATTGGTAATCATAAACAATACATTTGTGTCTTCTTCATGCCATACCCATGGGGTAATTGTTGTGCAAGCAGATGGCCCTCCCATACTTCTAGACATGATCCATAGTTTGGGCCTGGTCATTAGGTCTTCCTAACTCATCCAAGCACTAAATTCTACCAGTCTACATGAAGACTTCTACCCTGGATAGTAGTTCTAGAACTAAAACAAATGGTCTATAATCTACCCCTGTATGTGACCCAAATAGTAAATAATACAGCTCAAGCTTTAGAGACCAGACAGATCAGCAAAAATTTGTTGACTAGAATCATCCTAGATAATAAAACTGTCCTCGACCTTTTACTGTTCAGTTGTGGTAAAGTCTGTGCAGTAGCCTACGCATCCTGTTGTACCTAGGTAAACCCTTCAGGAAAAGTAAAATAATCAATAATTTAAAAGGCTCTCATGAAAAGATGTTCAACATTATTAGCTATTAGGGAATTGCAAATACCACAATGAGATACCACTACACACCTACCTGAATGGCTAAAATAAAGAATAGTGACAACACCAAATGCTGATGAGGATGCTGAGAAACTGGATCATTCATACATTTCTGGTGGAACGTACATTGGCACTACTCTGGAGAACAGTTTGGCAGTTTCTTTAAAGACTATACATGCAACTACTTTACAATGCAGAAATTTATCTGAGAAATGAACACTTAAGTTCATGCAAAAACCTCTACATGAATGTTTATAGTAGCTTTATTCATAACAACCAAAAACTGGAAACAATCCAGATGTCCTCCAACGGGTGAATGGTTAAACAAACGTGGTACATTCACATCATGGAATACTACTCAACAACAAAAAAGGAATAAACTATTGATACATGCAACACCCTGGATGACTCTCCAGAGAATTATGCTGAGTGAAAAAACCCAACTCTAAAAGGTTACATAGTGTATGATTCCATTTACATAATATCCTTTAAATGAGAAAATCACAGAAATGAAGGACAGATTAGTGGTTGCCAACGGTTAAGGAGTGGGTAGTGGTGGGAGGGAAGTAGGGGTAGCTATAAAAGGGCAACATGAGGAATCCTTGTAGAGATGGAAATGTTCCATATCTTGGTTGTGCTAACTGTGCTATAGTTTTGAAAGATGTTACCATCAGGGAGAAACTGAGCAAAGAATACATAGGATCTCTCTGTATTATTTCTTTCAACTTCATGTAAATCTATAATTATCCGAAAATAAGTTTAAAAAAAAAGGCCACTTAGCTATTTAAGGTGGGCCAAATTCATCCATAGGACTTACTCTCCCATTAGGACTTCTTTGAATAGGACTGGACACAAAGTGGATTCAAAACATTTATCATTATATTTGTGATTGTCTTATAGTTCTTGTCTTCTATTATCTGTTATCCAGATGCTTAAACACTATGATATAGCCATCACCCCAAGCCAACATCCTGCTAATGAAACTGCATCAAAAAGAAAAAGACCAAAGAGACAGCTCTGATGGCCTAGTGGTTAAAGTTCAGTGCTCGCCACTTTGGTTGCCTGGGTTCGCTTCCCGGTCATGGAACGATACCACCCGTCTGCCAGTTGCCATGCTGTGGCAGTGGCTCACACAGAAGAACTAGAAGGACTTACAACTAGGATATACAACCACGCAATGGGGCTTTGGGGAGGAAAAAAGAAAAAAAGAGGAAGACTGGCAACAGATTCAGCTCAAGGCAAATCTTTCCCTGCAAAAAGGAAAAAAAACCCAAAAAGACCAAAGTCTTCACGGTCAACTTTGTACTTCTGGGATCTGAGTTTTGCCCCAAAGGACATTTGGTCCTGTCCAAAACAACCATAAGACATTTAGTCCATAAAACATTTGGCCCACGCCAAAAGGTCCTTAATATCTGGTCATATTTGGTCCTGTTGAAAACGTCCATGGAGATACTGGGTCCAAGTCAAAAGGTCCTTGATATTTGGTCCTGTCCAAAACCATTTGGCATGGACCAAATATGCTCATGGACATTTTGGACAGGACCAAATGCAAGGACCTTTTGGCATGGACCAAATGTCTTATGGACGTTTTGGACAGGACCAGATGTCTGCTAATCAAGTTTTGACCAAACAGGAGTAACTGAAGAATTCTAATAAGGAAAATCATGTAATCCTCTATTAAGGTAGAAGTGGCTATAAAAGAATATTGACACATATAACACAGAGATAGCACATCTTGAACACACCACAGCTAAAATCATAAGGTTTTTTGAAGAAATCCATAAATATCCAAAATTGCTTTCCCTGATGACTCTGTTCAATAAATAATATGGTCTCTCTACCTATGATGTAGAAATTCATCATAGAGACTCATAGAGAGCAATTCCTCATAACACAGAAACTTTTTGCAGGTATGCATTGGAAGATAAGTTCAATAAAATTCACTGCAGCAATGTACATAATAGTCAAAAACTGAAAACAATCCAAATATCCACTAACAAATTTAAAGGCAAACTGAGGAATACTCCCATATGTAATAGTATACAGCAGTGAAAGAATAAGCACTAGCTAATGAAATTAAGTATATTAATCTTAGAAGCATAATATATTTAGAAACACAAATGATACTATTTTTGTAACTATGCATAAGTAGTGAAACTATGAAAAGAGCAAGGGAATATTAAACACAAAGTTTAGGATAATCGTTATCTGTTCTTGAGGGGAAGGGCAGAAGGCAACAGAATCAGGCAGCAGCTTAGGAACTTCAACCCTATTGAGTTAACATTGCACCACTTCAGGGAAAATACACAAATGTTGCAATTTTATAGGTTCTTTAACCCCATCCCCTCCCTATCCTTTATGTACAGTTGTCATATGCATTACATCTACATTATAAACCCACAAGCCAAGGTTTTAGTTTTAGTTTTAAATAGTCAGATATATTTTTAAAGAAATTAGGAGGAAAAGAACAGTCCTTTCCTCTGTCATCTCTATTCTGCTGTTAAGTCCATCAAGTGAATTTTTTATTTCAGATACTGTCTTTTTCAGTTCTAGAATTTGCATTTGGTTCTTTTTATATTTTCTATTTTTCTGCTTATATGTCTAAAAAAGAATTGGAAGGAAATTCTGAGAAATGAAATGCTACATTAGAATTGTAGGATGATGGGTGATATTTTTCATTTAAAAAATTTACCCTCATAAAAATAAATACTGAAATGTTCGCACACACAACTAAAATCCAAAAGTCCCAGCTCCTTCAACAAAATGTGACTAATAAATGTCACATTTTTCTGATGCATAAATTGCCATATCGTAGAAGGCATTTTAGTCATTTCCAAGATCCTCTCCCCAAATTTCTCTGAGACTCTTCAGTTGCTGACTCTTATTCATTAGTCACTATGTTCTCCTCCTTCTTCACAGGATGACTCTTGCTAATATATTGGAAATCTACCCAATTTTCCCCAAGTTCTTATTATAAAAATTTTCAAACATATAAATCAGCCAAAAGACTACAACAATAAATACCAATATACCCTCCACCTAGATTAAACAAGTTCAAGCATTATTTAACCTAACAATTGTTAAAATTGCTTTAACACTTTGCCACGTTTGCTTTATCTGTGTGTAAGTACACATATGTGTTTACTGCGCTATTTACAAGTTGCAGCCATTATGTTACTTCACCCCAAAATGTTAAAACCTCACCATGCATACTGTAAACACACGGATACTCTTCTACATAACCACAATATCAGTATCACACTTGAGCAAATTAACAATTGGGGGCCGGCCAGGGGGCGCAGCAGTTAAGTGCGCGCTCCGCTTTGGTGGTCCAGGGTTCCCAGGTTCCGATCCTGGGCGCGCACCGACGTACTGCTTGTCAAGCCATGCTGTGGCGGCATCCCATATAAAGTAGAGGAAGATAGGCATGGATGTTAGCCCAGGGCCAATCTTCCTCAGCAAAAACAGAGAGGAGGATTGGCATTGGATGTTAGCTCAGGGCTGATCTTCCTCAAAAGAAGAAAAAAAAGAAAACTAACAATAATTTTAGAATTTTATCTAATATTCAGTATATATTCAAATTTTCCTAATTGTCACAATAGTGTCTTTTGTTACTGTCTTTTTCAAATCTATATTCAATCAAACTGGTTGTATTTCTTTTTTTTGTGTGTGTGTGAGGAAGATCAGCCCTGAGCTAACATCCATGCTAATCCTCCTCTTTTCGCTGAGGAAGACTGGCTCTGAGCTAACATCTATTGCCAATCCTCCTCCATTTTTTTTGTTTGTTTGTTTTCCCCCAAAGCCCCAGTAGATAGTTGTATGT